TTTCTGTAATTTCATGGCTATCTGCTAAATTTTTACATTGTTGCTTAAGTTTTGCACACCAGTGTATTTCCTTGTTTAAGACAACTATAGACCTTTTTATTCAATTGGAATAATATGAATGGAAGATTACATACATATTTAACATTTAGAACAATTCTTTTGGAAATGTTTTTATGTCAACTTTGTCATTTAGAACGGAATTCCGTTGTGAGGGAGATATGAGGATTATTTACAAGACAAGCACTTGAAAGCTAGCCAAAGAACAGTATCCTCCAATTTCGTGCAAAAAGTATTTCTTTTGATTATGATGCAGTATGAAAAAAAAAGATGCATTTTTTCGATATGTAATGATCCTTTTAGACGGTTAAAAAAATACAACTTTCAGAAAACACGCAAAAATATCTGAACAGAACATTTTGGCAAATTCACAATTTAGGGTATTTGTTGAAAGATTAAAGGCGTATAAAAAGCGAATAGTTTGATTAATGTTTATTGTTTTCTTACCCCAGCCGAAAGAAAATCTATTTTTATATGTGTTTCACATCGGTGTTTTCAAATGATCGTTACTTCAAAGCATTTGTTGTATAATACAATGAATTGGTTAAATTTGAAGTTTGATTATATTTTTAAGTTTTTGTTGGTTTGTGAGTAAAATACTAATTCTTTTTCAGAAATTTTATTTAAATTTATTTCATTTTCGAAAAAACGTTTTTAACCTTTTTAATAAATAATAATTAATCAAGATGTAAATTGGTTACACTTTTAATTCTTCTTAAGTTAATTAAACATTTACAATAAATAGGTCAGATCGCTTAAGATATCTCTCCCATGTTATCTTTCAATAATCTTGGAAATAACAATAACGAGAGAATGTATTGAAAGTCAAGAAATATAAGGAAAACATTCAATTGCCGTAAAATTTGGCGTATAACACGCATTTTTAACGTAAGAAATAAGTTCGGAATTTAAAGTTTGGCATTATGCGTCGAGTATAAAAAGTATAAATTTAGAAATAAATAAATAAATGAGCATTAAAAAAATTAGACTTCTACACTACTGGCCATTAAAATTGCTACGCAAAGAAGAAATGCAGATAGCAAAATTATATTTATTGGACAAATATATTGTACAGAAAATAACAAATAATTTAACTTAAAGAAATTTGGGTGGATACACATTAAGAAATCAGTACCCATAACAGCCATCTCTGACATTAATAACAGCACTTATACGCTTGGGCATTGAGCCAAATAGAGATTGGATGGCATGTACAGTCACAGATGTCCATGTAACTTCAACACGATGCCAAAGATCAACAATCGTAGTGGCTGACGTATGGAAACCAGCCAGTCACTTGGCAACCATGGACCAGACGTTTTCTACATGTGACAGATATGGTGAACGTGCAGGCCAGGGCCACAGCAGAATATTTTCCGTATCAAGGAAGTTCCGAACAATACTGACAACATGCATTCGTGCATTATTTTTCTGAAACGTAGGGTTTCGCAGATCTCGAATAAAGTTAGAGCCATGGGTCATAACATATCAGAAATATAACGTGCACTGTTCAAAGTGTCGTCAAGGTGAACAAGAGGAGACCGAGACTTGTATTCAACAGAACCCCATACCATCACGCGAGGCTATGGGCCAGTATGACGATGATGAATGCACAGTACCAATGGGCGTTCACCAGGATGCCAGCGAACACAGATGCGGCCATCTTGATGCTGTAAGCAGAACCTGAATTAATCTGAAAAAATGACGTATCATCATTCGTACGTCCAGGTTTATCATTGATCACACCATTAACCCGCGGTCACTCGCGCCTGTTTTTCCTACCTTCGTTACTCGCGGGGTGTAGAGAACACCCCAAACTTTTAACACATGTATTTAATTACGAAAATAAAATTAAGTCATTATGATACATATTTATAAAGTACAAGATGTTTTTTGTATTATACAAATATATAAAATTATTAAATTTATTGCTTACAAATGAGACTAACACATTAATTTAAACTAAACATACAAAACTTTCATTTTAAAACATATAATTTTATATTTTTTCATAAACTAGTATATATATAAAACGTATATACCAGTAATAAATATACTTTATAATTAATGAGATAATG